CGTCCATTTTGCATCATACTTTTATATCGATATTTATTGCATTATGGGTTGTTATTTCATGTTATGTCACAATACTTATGGCTATTCTCTCTTATTTTACAAGGTTTACATAAGGAGGGAGAATGCCGGCAGCTGGAATTCTGGGCTGGAAAAGGAGCAAATATTAGAGACCTATTCTATGCAACTCCAAAAGTCCTGAAACTCCAGGGAATATCTTAAAATAAATAAAGAAAAATCGTCGCCAAAGATGAAGTCCAGGGGGCCCACACCCTGCTCACGAGGGTGGGGGGCACGCCCCCCTCCTAGGGTGCGCCCCCCTACCTCGTGGGCCCCCTGGTGGGTCTCCGACGTCCATCTTCTGCTATATGAAGTCTTTCGATGAGGGAAAAATCAGAAGCAACCTTTCGGGACGAGACTCCGCCACCACGAGGCGAAACCTTGGTGGAACCAATCTAGAGCTCCGGCAGAGCTGTTCTGCCGGGGATACTTCCCTCCGGGAGGGGGAAATCATCATCATCGTCATCACCAACGCTCCTCTCATCGGGAGAGGGAAATCTCCATCAACATCTTCACCAGCACCATCTCATCTCCAAACCCTAGTTCATCTCTTGTATCCAATTCTTGTCCCAAAGTCCGGGATTGGTGCTAGTAGGTTGCTAGTAGTGTTCATTACTCCTTATAGTTGATGCTAGATGGTTTATTTGGTGGAAGATCATATGTTCAGATCCTATATGCATATTATTACCCCTCTGATTATGAACATGAATGTGAGTAGTTACGTTTGTTCCTGAGGACAAGGGAGAAGTCTTGCTATTAGTAGTCATGTGAATTTGGTATTCGTTTGATATTTTGATAAGATGTATGTTGTCTAGCCTCTAGTGGTGTTATGTGAACGTCGACTACATAACACTTCACCATTATTTGGGCCTAGAGGAAGGCATTGGGAAGTAATAAGTAGATGATGGGTTGCTAGAGTGACAAAAGCTTAAACCCTAGTTTATGCGTTGTTTCGTAAGGGGCTGATTTGTATCCATATGTTTCATACTATGGTTAGGTTTACCTTAATATTTTTGTTGTAGTTGCGGATGCTTGCAATAGAGGTTAATCATAAGTGGGATGCTTGTTCAAGTAAGAACAGCACCCAAGCACCGGTCCACCCACATATTAAATTATCAAAGTACCGAACGCGAATCATATGAACGTGATGAAAACTAGCTTGACAATATTCCTATGTGTCCTCAGGAGCACTTTTCCTATTATAAGAGTTTGTTCCGGCTTGTCCTTTGCTACAAAAAGGATTGGGCCACCTTGCTGCAGTTTATTTACTTTTGCTACTTGTTGCTCGTTACAATTTATCTTGTCACAAAACTATCTGTTACCACTTATTTCAGTACTTGCAGAGATTATCTTACTGAAAACCGCTTATCATTTCCTTCTGCTCTTCATTGGGTTCGACACTCTTACTTATCGAAAGGACTACGATAGATCCCCTATACTTGTGGGTCATCATTCATCATGGCATGTCATAGCAGAACTTAAATAAAATACATGACTACCCAATAACATGAATATTGGACTAAGTAAGCAAATTGTTGAAAAAATTGAGAACTTAGCAAGCATCATTTCGTCTATACCTTCTATTAATATTGGAGTTGCTGAGTGAATTCTTTCTATCCACTAAAAAACATTTTGAAGTGACTAGCTGGAACCTAGTACAATTTTATGTACTCGTTCATTACAATATATGCACTGTGAATGCTTACTATCCTGCAAAAGAAAGAAGAAGCAAGGGATAAAGAAGAAATGAGGCACGTCAGACAAAAAGGGCAACGGGGAGGGCGCCAACTGGACCAGCCCACTTGCGCGCAGTTTTCAGCGAGAGTAACCTCTCATCTTGTGCAACACTATCCTGCGTGCGTGGGATGAGGGGTGACCTGGGGCCAGATGACATGGAGCGGTAGGGCAGCGATGCGCCCGAACGGAAAATCCATTGCCTCGGGTAAGGTGGCCATGCATTGCACGAACGCTGTCGTCCAACAGGAAAGTGTGTGATGCAGCCATGCTGGTTGGAGACGGGGTTGATGGAGGAGCCCCGATCGGACGATATCGACGACAACCGGCAGAGAACGATCATGCCAAGCCACATAGCCGTAGTAGGGTTCGGGGTAGTCGAGCGGATCTCGGAGAAGAGGCGTGTACTAGTTGCAAAATGGCGGTGGGCGATGCGAACTGATCTTAGATTAAAAAATCCCCCAAAAACATGGATGAATTGTCCGCGAGAAAGGAAAACCCCAGGTAAAGGAAAAATACTCTCTAGGACAGACGTTCAGCATGACAAATAAACACCAAGGCGCTAACCAATCTGTGGTTGGATGGTTAGGTGGACAGTGGTATCCCCGGCTCACCAAGGTTCAAGTCCTGGTGCTCGCATTTATCCTGTATTTATTTTAGGATTTCCGGCAACGTGGTTCAGTTGGAGGAGATGTTTCCGTCGACTACGAGACATCTACGGTGACTTCGTAAATCTCAAAATGATATGCCAGCTCAGTATCTCGGAGGTGCTCATAGAGGTTGGGTGTGTGTGCATAATCATAGGGGTGAGTGTATCCGTTCATATATGAGCGCTTGCGTCTGTACTGTGTTAAAGAAAACACAAGGCAAAAACAAAGAAAGAAAGAAAAAAATAATGGTAGCACTGGAATGCTTACTTGATCATATCTATCTATTACAGTATATAATTAAAACAGAGGTCAAATAAACCATCATGTTCGTCCACATAGACTAAATTATGTTGAGAGTAAGATTTAGATACTAACAACGGTGAGATTTAGATATTAACAACCAAGATTTAAAAGACGTAACATTACATATAAATATTATAACATCCAAATACTTTGACACGTAACGTGTCATGTACTACTAAGAAGAAGAAAAAAAGGCTACCTTTGGTTTGTGTACCAAGATAGTAGTATATGGGAACAGGAAAAAAAGTTCGGCAACCGAAGAATCTATTTCTACAAAAAAGGAAAGAGTCTGGACACCCAAAGGCAGGGTCCTAGGAGAATACGTGTGCTGATTCCTAAAAAATGAATAAATGTGAGGACGCCATCTATGATTTCGGCAAAGTAATCAGTCCGGACTTCTCCATGGGTGTTAAAATAAAACAGTCCAGACTCAGCTTAGTGATCCACGTTTGAGATAACAATCTTTCTGTATGCAGCTTGAAAAGATATAAGTACGTATATAGATATCGAAAACAATGGGGCAAAGAGATTACAAAAATACTTTCGATTATAATGATTGAGATCTAAAGGTTTGAAAGTTACAAACAATGTTGGGGATGTGCCGTTGTAGCTAACTTGTCACATGTAGAGCACAAAATTTAGGCTGTTGAGCACAAATAGGTAGGCAACGGGAAGCTATCATGTGCATCGGTGCTTGTGATGCTACTGGTACACCGGATGCCCTTAGTGCATTTCAATATGTTTGAAAATTTTAGAAAAAAATTACGACATTGACCCAACATCGATCTGTGTTGTCAAAACATTTCAACTCAAAATTTGAAACATTGCTTGAGATACAAAAATCACAAAATCGACACCGAATAGTACACAATATAATTTGGGCTTTAGATTTGTCTCATTTATCACATTGATGCCAAAATTTTCATTTTTGTATCTTGTGCAATGTTTCAAGTTTTGATTTGAATTTTTGCAACAACAAAGACCGTTGTTCTGTCAATATCCTACATCCTTTTTCTGATTTTTGGGAACATTTTTTAATGTGCTACAAGGTGCGATGCACTGGTAGCACCACAAACACCGGTGCACTAGATACTTTCCCGGTAGCCAACTGCAACTAAAAAGCAGTCAATCTAATTCAACATACACTAGGTAAACACGTAATTAGGAAGTCCATGTATCATGAAAGTCAAAAAAATAATATTTGCTGTAATTATTGTAAGTACTAGCATAAGCCAGTGTATAATAAAAAACAAATATGTGATTCAGGTCATTCAAAAATACGTAAAATCATACAATAGATGTCGTTCATGTGCTACAAATTTGTCTGTAAATATAGAAACTGTATTTGGATCGGGAACAAGCATATCGTTATAAATAATAGAAATTACAACAATATACTAGAGACCATCTCAAATTCTAAAATAATTGTTTCCCATACACATATGTCCAGCCACATAAATACATGTGAAATAATTCTGTTAATATTGCCCTATGAGGACCTGTGGAATTTAAAACGAAAAGACTGTCCAATTTGATTTCCATATAGTAGCACTAAATATGCAGCAAAGGAGAACCAGTGCTAATGTAGCTTCTCTCTGGATGAGATGCATTAAGAATTTAAACATAATAAGGCACTTAGAATTACAAACATGAGTACATTCGATAGCACGTAAAGTTCTTCATGAACTAGAATGGAAACAACCGTAGGCACGTACAGTTTAAAATAACTCGTGGATTCCACAATAGGTGGCACCGAACGAGAAGTGTTATCTATATACAAGTGATTGCAAGATGGGTAGAGGAAGAGAAAAAAACTTTAAGTATATGCCATCTAGGTTGATTTAATTCTTTGTAGAAAATTATCAAAATATGTGAAAATATGAACACTAAGGGGTGAGAAATGTTCCACAGAAGGATGTATATTAGCAAGAAATTCTATGGTTTGCATGTCAGGCTTCTGACCATAGATTTTCAATGTCACGCCACAAAGTCAATACAAAAAAAGGTCACAACAATACCAAAAATATTCCACATGATGTAGTCGTGATATGCCATTATCTGTAATTTCAAATTCATATCTAATAGTACACCAACATGTAAATATGAATATAATAAATAAGTACAACACAAGGAAGGTAATACATGAAAAAACTAGCCGCGCAAATGCGCGGGTCACACTACTAGTTTATTAATTATATGCCTTATTTTGGCGAAAAGTTATATGCCTTGTTACAATTTGACAATTACAAACATTATTCAACAACCACCCTTGGGACCAAAACCAAGGTTGTCGTTTACAATGTCAAACACAATTTCTACAGATTGTTGTGCACTCCTCCCTATTATAGATATGCCGCTCTGGGAATGAAACGCCAGACACGCGATGCGCTTACCCGGCCGCGGATTAAAGAAGATGCCTTCATAACTGAGATCAAACTCTGTACCGTCACTGAAGCCGAAAATTACTTGGGGTATAGGGATGTTAGCAGGTGCGTCTGTGAAGTTGAAGCAGCCGCCGAGTATGTAGACATCCTTTGGAATAAGATACTTCTCAAACTCCTGCCGGAACACCCTAGTGAGGTTGCCGTGAACCTCAGGTGGGATGTATGTCAAAGTTGCCCCGGAGTCCACAAATGTTTCTTGCTTCACCGGCATAGCAATAAACTCATTGCCGACGTACATGTATGTTAAATCCACAAAATACAAAGACATGTGAGTCCTATGCCTAAACATTTTGGTGAATGTAATGTCGGAGGTCGACTCGTCCATCCTGCCAAAGGTGAGGAACCCACTCTTCTTACTCCTTGACGATGGAATACAGTATGAAAACCCATTGTGTGTAATATCAACTGATGGGGCATCCGTCTTGTGTATCTGCTGTGCTAGAGACATTGGGCCACGCCCGAGCCCAATAAGTCCGTCCAGGTCACCAAAATATCCCACATCACTAGTAGCACATCCAAACAGAAAATGTTTGACTGACACAAAGTATGTCAGGTTTAATTCGTCCATAAAGACTATACCTTGTGTGCTTGATGCGTCCATGTAGTGGGTGGAGAAGAAACAATGATCATTGCCGCCAACTTTGCACCTTCCTCCCGCCTTTAAACAGTTTGAAGATCCGCAGAAGACTAGCTTGGAGGTGAAAGAATCTGCGGGGGCGTACGATGCTCCTTGGTAGCTCTCCGTGGAATTAATTCTTGTCATGTTGCAACGGATCCAGCTGAAGTCGCTGCCCGTGTCAAATACCACCTTCTGAAGTACATCTGGATATCCAAACCCATGCCAAGCTGTGAACATATCCAGATCACTTGTCCGGTCATGAGTTGTGATATTCAAATACTCTGAGGGGTAGAAGATGGGCGTCCCTAACAGCACACTCATCCGGGCTAGGTCATGGGTAAGGTACTCCATGGGATTCACCTCCTTGGGTTTGCCTGTGCGAATAAGTGGGATCTTCTTATTGGTATGTGCCAATGAACCTGCCAATTTGCAATTTAAATATATCCTTAATTATGCAGCTAATCTGTTATATAGTTAAAAGGATAGGAGATGAAAGGTAGAGGTTCATCAATCAAAAGGATATCTATGAGCATGTACGTTTTACAAAAATGGTAGACCTGCCAAAAGTTTTCCTACAAGATTAGTCTACATACATTGATTTTATGTCTAACTTTGACCATTAATTTTACCAACAAAAAATGAGTTATATGCCACAAGAATATACTAAAAACAAATACAAGGTACAACCCCCTAAAGAAGAACATATATATCTATGTACCAGAAATGAAAACGGCATGTATATTAGGATGTACAATTTTAATTGATTAGTCTACCCATATCACAGCCACAATATTATGATGCTCCCATACTGTTCCTAACTTAGTATAACAGTTGTGATCCTATAGAATGGTGACTATTTTTCTGGCACCATTGATGCAAGGTGAGTAGTGTCAAAAAGGAGGAGCTACCTGCTTCTGGCGGTGAAGGAGTCCGGTCCACATCTGGAGAACAGATTGCCGAACGTGACTTTGAAGCCGCAGCAATCAGCAACAACGCTGAAACAATGGTAGTATATAAAACCACTTGTGGTCCGGTCTGAGCAAAGTTAAATTATAAATAAAATTTTGACATGAAAAACGAAGTGGTCTTGTATAAGGGAATGGAGGGAGTATATAAAATAGGAAGCAACTTAATTAATGATGAGGTTTGTTTTCATACATGCTTAGCAACAACACTTGCGACCAGTAGGACAACCAAATAAGGATGTGTTTTCTGAATGGAACATGAAGAGAGATTCCTGGGGTTGTTGTGATTCATATGAGTGAGCAACGTTGACACCTAATACTAGATATTTTATAGGAAACTGTTAAAATCATAAAATGCCTGTATATTTTTCAGGAAACAGTAGGTCTCTACAATATATTGAAAAACAAGTGGTGTATGAAATTTACAAGAGCTATAGCTACTCCTGGACTGTCACAAGAATATACTAAAGTAAATACAAAGTACAACCCACTAAAGAAGAAGAACATAAAGCGGCATGTATATTAGGATGTACAATTTTAATTGGTTAGTTGAACATGTCATGCTTAGTAAGAAAGGGTCTACCCATATCACAGCCACAATATTATGATGCTCCCATACTGTTCCTAACTTAGTATAACAGTTGTGATCCCATAGAATGGCAGTGGCGGCGGCAGGGGTATTCACGTGTATTCATGTGAATACCAAAGCTTTGGCCCAAAAAATTTATTATATGTATTATTCGGCGACCCACAAGCCTACAGCCCAGAGCCCACCAGTACTGCAGCCCACACAGCGAGTCCAACACGCTGACCACCTCGGCACCTCGTTTCGCTGATTCGTTTGACCTCGACCCGAATCCATTCCCCAGTCCCCACTCGGTCGTTCGTTCCCCAACTTAACCTAGCGCCTCCTGCGGCGGCGGTGGCGAGCAGCGGCAAGCAGAGCCGCCGGCGGCCGGCGTCCGACGAGCGTCCAGGTTCTATTCTCCTTGTCCATGTCTTCTCTCTGTAGTTCTCTTGATCTCTTCCTCTAAGAAAGTAAGAAGGCCAGCCCCCAGCCAGATTAAAATGATTACTAGTACTAGTTTGTTGGCGTTTAGTATCCGGACAAATAGCAAATCTGCAATCGTTCTTAAGGCCAGCCAGTTCCTAATTTAGTATCTGGTCACTAGTTTGCTAGACTGCACTTTTGCTATTTTAATGTAGTTTGCTGGAGCGACCAGCAGAGCAGGTTGCTTGCTTCTTCCTAGTACATATTACTGCTAGTACATCTAGTTTGGTGGAACGACCAGGTTGCTAGATTGAAATTTTGATATTTTAATTTTTAACCTACAATTTTCAGAGTGTATATTTTGGTAGATTGCTAATCTATCTTTTTCTGATCTTGTATCATAGATGAAGAAGAATGGTGTTAGCATTGTTGCATTGTGGGAAAGAGCTTCAAAGGCAAATAAAAGAACTTCCACATCTACACCAAATCCTCCTGATGTTGAAGTTGAGAGCAGTAGCATTCCTCCTGATGTTGAGAGCAATCTGCAACTGGCACTAGTGCAAGCACATGAACCGGATGATAGTCACACAGAACCTGAGAGTGGCTCCCCAGCCCCAATTATAGAAGATGATGAAGCAAATGATGAAGTTCAATTTGAAGTAGATTTGGACGCACTTGAGTCAGATCCCGGGAAATGGATCCCCATCTCTAGGTACAATGTCAATGACCAGGATAAAGTTAGAAGGAGATACATCGAGTTGGGGGCATGTCAACCAAAGAAACATAATTTTGAGTACAGAGACATAAGTGGATTACAACGTCGCTTTTGTACTTCTTGGTTTAAGGATTACAAGTGCCTTGAGTATAGTGTGAACAAAGAGGCTGCTTTCTGCTTTGTTTGCTATTTGTTCAAGCATAAAACAAAAAGGCCCGGTGGAGATTCATTTGTTAAGGGTGGGTTTAGAAACTGGAACATGAAAGCAAGATTGACAAGGCATGTTGGTGATGTAAGTAGTGCTCACGCTGAAGCTCAAGAGAAGTATGATATGTTCACTACACCACAAACATCAATTCGGGAGTCTGTTGCTTCCAACACCTCACAATACAAGGCTTTGTATAAACAACGTTTGACATGGACACTCAAGTGTGTGAGATTTCTGTTGCGCCAAGGCTTGGCATTTAGAGGACATGATGAAAGTGAAGACTCGCTAAATAAAGGAAATTTCCTTGAGCTTCTAAATTGGCTAGCAGGAAATTTTGAAGAGGTTGACAGGGTTGTTCTCAAGAATGCTCCACGGAACTGCAAGATGACTCACCATGATATACAACAAGAGGTGATAAAATGTTGTGCACAAGAGACTACTAAACTAGTCATTGAAGAACTTGATGGTGGTCATTTTGCAATACTTGCAGATGAGTCTAGTGATGTGTATCAGAATGAACAGTTGGCTGTTTGCTTGCGTTATGTTGATAAGAAAGGAAGGGAGGTTGTAAGTTTTCTTGGTCTTGCTCATGTTGAAGATACTACCTCTCAGACACTAAAAGCTGCAATTCAGAAAATGCTTATGGACTACAATTTAACCTTTGCAATGGTTCGTGGGCAAGGATATGATGGAGCTAGTAACATGAGAGGTAATGCTAATGGCCTGAAAAAACTGATTATGGATGAGTCCCCTTCTGCCTACTATGTTCATTGTTTTGCCCATCAACTACAGTTAACTCTTGTTGTTGTTGCTAAGGAGAGTGGTAATTGTACTTGGTTCTTTCAGCAGCTTGCACACTTGTTAAATGCTCTTGGCATGTCTTGTAAAAAGATGAGAATGCTTCGGATAGCTCAGGCTGAAGAACTCATTAATGCATTGGAATTGGAAGAAGTAGAAACAGGGAGTGGGCTGAATCAGGAAATGGGTTTGGGAAGGCCATGTGATACACGTTGGGGCTCTCACTTAACTGTGAACCATGTCATCTCTATGTATGATGCACTACGACGAGTCCTTCGCAAGATTGGAGACGAGTACCATGGTGCGGAGGCACAAGCGGCTCTATCCATAGAGACAATATTTTGATCATTTGAGTTTGTTTTCATGGCACACTTGATGCAAGAAATATTTGGATACACAGATGAGTTGTGTAGAGCTTTGCAAAAGCAAGACGAAGATATTGTTCATGCTATTGAGCTTGTTGGTGACACAAAGTATTACTTGGAGGCTTTGAGGACCGATGCTGGACGGGATGATTTTCTCACAAAGGTCACATCTTTTTGTACAAAGCATAAGATCAAAGTTGTTGATATGGAGGGTCCTTACTTTCCCGTTGGCCGGCCTAGAAGGGGTTTATGTAATGGTGTGATCAATTACCACCGCTTCAAGGTTGATATGTTTGTGGGTGTCATTGATAGGCAAATCAGTGAGCTGAATGGCAGATTTGATGAGGTAAACACGGAGCTACTTTCTTGCATGGCAGCATTTTGTCCACTTCATCTATTTGCTGCTTATGACCAAGATAAGTTGGTTAGGCTTGCTACAAAGTTTTATGCTTCTGATTTTACAAGTGATGAACTGGCAAGACTTCCATGGCAACTAAACATGTATGTTATTAATGTGCGTAGAGATGAAAGGTTTCAAAACCTGAAAAATCTGTGTCAGCTTTCAGTTATGCTTGTTGAGACAAACAAGCATGAACAATATCATATTGTTTACAAGCTTCTTAAGTTGGTATTGATTCTGCCAGTAGCTACTGCTAGTGTTGAAAGGGTGTTCTCTTCAATGAGCCATGTGAAGAATAAGCTAAGGAACAAAATGGGTGATGAATATTTGAACAATTATTTGGTTACATTTGTTGAGAGAGAATTTTTCAATCAAGTGAAGGATGAAGATGTATCAATCTCTTCCAAAAAGGCGACCGCAAAGTTATATTGTAAGAAGGATATCATCACTTTATCAATCAAAAGATACTTATGTATTCATGTCGTTATGGTCTGATACATTGAAATATTGCTATTGCCGTTATGCTAGTGTTGTTTTGTTCATATATTGCTAGTGTTGTGTTGTTTGGTTCATATACTGCATTTAGAGCAAAAAAAATTTGGATGAATACCCAGGCTTCATTTCCCGGCGCCGCCACTGTAGAATGGTGACTATTTTTCTGGCACCATTGATGCAAGGTGAGTAGTGTCAAAAAGGAGGAGCTACCTGCTTCTGGCGATGAAGGAGTCCGGTCCACATCTGGAGAACAGATTGCCGAACGTGACTTTGAAGCCGCAGCAATCAGCAACAACGCTGAAACAATGGTAGTATATAAAACCACTTGTGGTCCGGTCTGAGCAAAGTTAAATTATAAATAAAATTTTGACATGAAAAACGAAGTGGTCTTGTATAAGGGAATGGAGGGAGTATATAAAATAGGAAGCAACTTAATTAATGATGAGGTTTGTTTTCATACATGCTTAGCAACAACACTTGCGACCAGTAGGACAACCAAATAAGGATGTGTTTTCTGAATGGAACATGAAGAGAGATTCCTGGGGTTGTTGTGATTCATATGAGTGAGCAACGTTGACACCTAATACTAGATATTTTATAGGAAACAGTTAAAATCATAAAATGCCTGTATATTTTTCAGGAAACAGTAGGTCTCTACAGTATATTGAAAAACAAGTGGTGTATGAAATTTACAAGAGCTATAGCTACTCCTGGACTGTCACAAGAATATACTAAAGTAAATACAAAGTAAAACCCACTAAAGAAGAACATAAAGCGGCATGTATATTAGGATGTACAATTTTAATTGGTTAGTTGAATATGTCATGCTTACTAAGAAAGGGTCTACCCATATCACAGCCACAATATTATGATGCTCCCATACTGTTCCTAACTTAGTTTAATAGTTGTGATCCTATAGAATGGTGACAATTTTTCTGGCATCATTGATGCAAGGTGAGCAGTCTGCACAAAGGAGGAGGTACCTGCTTCTGGCGGTGAAGGAGTCCCGCCCTCATCTGGATAACTGATTGCCGAACGTGACTTTGAAGCCGCAGAAATCAGCAACAACGCCACAACGATGGTAGTTAAGAAGAACTTCATTTGTACGTAAGTGGATATCAAATCTCAATTCTCAAATCACTTGTGTTCTTTTTATACAAGCATTAGAATGGTCCGGTCTGAGCAAATAAGTGAAGTTTGTTATGGGCATGCGGTGATCTTTACGTGGTATGGACGCACCCGCAAGCAGTTGCAACCATACTTGAGGCAAGGCATCTTTGCATGATATGTGTTGGTAAGACTGTTGGTACATTTGCATGAATCGGACGTATTCAGACTGTTGGTCAGACTATTGTACTCCCTTTAATGGCGTACAAGTGTGGGTCCCCCATGTCATGTTCTGTGAGACAAAATTAGTGAAAAACGTGCACATGGGATTCAATCTTGATACAATACATTAGACTACCCACAATGGGAGTAATATATATAGGTGTTAACATCACACATATTTAGACAAAATAGATGATGTGATAAGTAATTAATGAAGAAAGAGAGTGATGTGATAGGATAGCTAGTTACTAGTAGTATGAATAACATCACACATACCAAGACAAGATGAGTATACAACTTAATAAATTAAGTGTTGTATGACATCACATATATGTTACTCTCCATTGTGAAGGTAGTAATATAGACTAGTAACATATGCATGGAGAATGGCCATAGAGTGGACGGGCTCGCGCGCTCCTGTTATCTGAACGGGCAATATAAGTCACGGGATGTGTGCCACTGACAATACCGACAGCCTGAAGAGAAATACGAAGCTGCAGAGACAACTGACGGCGGCTGGCCGGGGCATGTGTTATCGGAGGTGCGCGAGTGGTACAAGATTTTGCGGTCCCCCCGGGACCGTCTACTTTCACGGCGATTAATCGCTCGCAGGTAGGGGGGGGAAGTTTTGAAGTGGGGCCATGCATGCGTTCGAGGCAGGGAGCAAGAGTGCGTAATTAACCTCGAATACTTTTCCGTGGGCGCCGGCAGAGCTTTGCTATGGATGTGATTCTGGAGGAGACGGATGGGTTCGAGTTCCTTTCAGATCCAGTCGATGGGTAAGCTGCTTGGCCTCGAGAGATGGTTTTGGATCTGATTCTGAGTTTCTTCTAGTGTGGATGTTAGATGTGCTTCTGATTCTTGCGCAGATTTCCAGTGCTGACTTCGGGTGTGGAGAATGAACTACTTGACAAGGAGGCTTCCAATGATGTGCCGGATCTGCCGGATCACGCCGCTGGTTGCACCGGTGACAGTGATGTGAGCGCCGCGGTAGTCGCGAGGCATATGGACCTGACCGGCGATAGTACTTGCTAGAATGCCTTGTTAGGAAATAAACCACGAGTGTGTCGTGGCGTGTGTGCCAGGGTCAGTCGCGTGCGTGCGCAGTGGAGATACGTCCAACAGCTACAAAATCAGCCGCATCGTAGTTTGTTAGCGGGATGCACGAGCGATGGATAAGGACGTGCATGTAGTGGTTTTGTTAGGGCATGTACATCAGTTTAGACGCGTGTTGTCTGCAATGATTCTCCATGTCACCTGTAGACAGCGGTAAAGACACCTCGTACAATAGACCGTCCTTTCTTACTATCTGTAACATCCTAAAATTAGTAAATATGTTAATTAGTCTACGAAATTAAATCCCATCCAACTCCGGCCGACCCCACCGCTCCTACTCTTTACAAAAGGGCACTAGTAGAAAACAGGGCTTTGGTCCAGGCCGGGTCAGCCCATTAGTCCCGGTTCAGTCTAGAACCGGGACCAATATGGGCATTGGTCCCGGTTCGTGAGCCCAGGGGGCCGGCCGGGCCACGTGGGCCATTGGTCCTGGTTCATCTGGACCTTTTGGTCCCGGTTGGTGGGATGAACCGGGACCAATGGGCCTCGCTTCTGGCCCACCATCATCGGTCCCGGTTGGTGGCTTGAACCGGGATCAAAGACTCCCCTTTAGTCCCGGATCTTGTCACCAACCGGGACCAATGAGGTGCCTATATATACCCCCTCGCGCAAGAGCAGAGCACAGTGCTTTGTTTTTTCTGGCCGAGGGGGAGAGGGCTTTGTGGTGCTCTAGCTCACCTCCTATGCACATGAGGTGTTCGATGGAATGCCCGAGCCACACTACTTAACCTTTCTCCTCTCGAAGCTCGACCTCCAAGCTCCATTTTCCTCGAGATGTATGATTCGGATGTGGTATGTATATTATCTTTATAACTATTGGTTCATTTATTGTTTATGAAAATTATGCCGACCAACGTGACATAGATTTTATTTATCTAGGATGTATGTGAATCGGAAATGCCAACCGACCCTATTGTCGAGAGGTTAAATTTAGTTGAAGAAGAAAACAATTTGTCGAAGGAAAAAATAAAAAAAATTAAGGAGGAGAAGATGATATTGGAGTTGCATGTTGCGGATGTCATCGATGATCACAAGATCAAGATGGATGCAATGCGCTTCAAGATTAGAAAGATTAGAAAATATGTCATTCATACCGAGGCTTGGTATCATTATGCCGTTGGATCAATTGTTACCTTGGTTGCGATTATGATCGCATCTGTTTTCGCATTGAAATGTTTTACATAGTTTCAATGTATGATTTAATTAATTAGATGCTCTGGAGAGCTATATGTTGTTAGATGAGAACTATGTATGCACTTTGGTTTTAATGTGATGATGAACTTTTATTAATTTGGACACTTAATTATATATAATGCACGCAGATGAACCGGCAATGGATGTACGGTGACAGACACACCCGCGAGTACATTAAGGGCGTGCATGAGTTTCTCGATGCGGCTGAGGCAAACAAGCAGAATGGTTTTATGTGTTGTCCATGCACTGAATGTGGGAATACGAGGTCTTACTCTAACCGGAAAATCCTTCACTCCCACCTGCTTTACAAGGGTTTCATGTCACACTATAATGTTTGGACGAGGCACAGAGAAATAGGGGTTATGATGGAAGACGACGAAGAAGAAGACTACGATGACAACTATGTGCCCCCTGAATACGGTGATGCTGCAACGGGGGGAGCTGGTGAATATCAATAGGAACCAGACGATGTGCCCAATGATGCTGCAACGGGTGAAGCTGCTGAAGATCAAGAGGAACCAGACGATGTGCCCGATGATGATGATCTCCGCCGGGTCATTATCGATGCAAGGACGCAATGCATTAGTCAAAAGGAGAAGCTGAAGTTCGATCGCATGTTAGAGGATCACAAAAAAGGGTTATACCCCAATTGCGAAGATGGCAACACAAAGCTCGGTACCGTACTGGAATTGCTGCAGTGGAAGGCAGAGAATGTTGTGGCTGACAAAGGATTTGAGAAGCTACTGAAAATATTGAAGGAGAAGCTTCCAAAGGATAACGAATTGCCCGACAGTACATACGCAGCAAAGAAGGTCGTATGCCCTCTAGGATTGGAGGTGGAGAAGATACATGCATGCCCTAATGACTGCATCCTCTACCGCGGTGCATACAAGGATCTGAACGCATGCCCGGTATGCGGTGCATTGCGGTATAAGATCAGACGAGATGACCCTGGTGATGTTGACGGCGAGCCCCCAGGAAGAGGGTTCCTGCGAAGGTGATGTGGTATGCTCCTATAATACCACGGTTGAAACGTCTGTTCAAAAACGAAGAGCATGCCAAGTTGATGTGATGGCAAAGTGAGAACCGAAAGAAAGATGGGAAGTTGAGAGCACCCGCTGACGGGTCGCAGTGGAGAAAAATCGAGAGAAAGTACTGGGATGAGTTTGCAAAGGACCCAAGGAATGTATGGTTTGCTTTAAGCGCGGATGGCATTAATCCTTTCGGGGAGCAGAGCAGCAATCACAGCACCTGGCCTGTGACTCTATGTATGTATAACCTTCCTCGTTGGATGTGCATGAAGCGGAAGTTCATTATGATGCCAGTTCTCATCCAAGGCCCTAAGCAACCCGACAACGAAATTGATGTGTACCTAAGGCCATTAGTTGAAGAACTTTTACAGCTGTGGAATGAAAATGGTGTACGTACATGGAATGAGCACAGACAGGAGGAATTTAACCTTAAGGCGTTGTTGTTCGTGACCATCAACGATTGGCCCGCTCTTAGTAACCTTTCAGGACAGACAAACAAAGGATGCCACGCATGCACGCACTGTTTAGATGACATTGAAAGTATATACCTGGACAAATGCAGGAAGAATGTGTACCTGGACCAGAGGAGCATGCACGAATCGCTGCACAACAGCCCAAAGATCGGACACAAAATCTGACTCAAAACGAATTGTTTTCAGTCAGATGAAAATTAGCAAAACCGAACCAAATAGTATAAATGAGTACATGTCACATATCGTTACATACCAAATAGTTCTCAGGAACTATTGGACAAAGATAAATAGTCAACAAGAGTATACGGCCGTGGTACCAAGCCACCCAAGCGTCTGTTGGCGTGTGCCATGCGTCCAAGTCTAAGATGATAGGCTCCAATGTTCGAATACTCACTCTCTTCAAAATCAAAGCTTAAGTAGATGGTGTCAGCACAAATGGATCCAGAGGGGAAAATACCCAAAGACACTGACAGAGAGCTATTATTCATGCCAATGAACACGGCACGCCCTGCGCCACTGCCCAAGCTCTTGACAAGGAGTAGCGTCCCGGCGTCCAAATCTACTCGATACGTGTAGCATATCCAACGCTTGTTATTCATAGGTACCAAATGTTCACGTGCTCGACGGTGCACCAACATTTGCTCCCCACGATTGTTCACCAGGTGCATGCGATCCACATTTGGCCGGACATCAATATTCAGCTTGGCAGCCACCTGCAGCCGTGGTGGCTGATCTGCACTTGTTTCGAGCACCATGACGCCTTGGACGGTAACGCAGTAGAAGCGGCCTGCCAGCATTAAGGGTGTTTTTCCCAACAAGCTGCCTTGGTAGTTTAGAACCAGCACCGTCCAATGGTCGTCACCGGGCTTGGCCATGCCAAGCATGCCCAGCTGGTTGAAGCAAAGCACCACCGTCGAATCATCACCGGCGATGCCTGAGCCGCAGGCTGTGAATCTCT